GTTTTGTTCCCTAGCACCTAGTGGACAGAGTTGCCACAAAATTAGTACTGTAGGAATGCCACAAACGAAGGCCTCGATCCTTCTGAATGAATACCATTGAAATGCCAGAGACGTATTAACTACCAGGGAGATGCGTTCAAAGCAGATATTAAGGGACTTATTTCCTGAGCACCCTGTACCTTCTTGTCTTGTATAAACAAGACTTTTAAAAAGGCCTAGGTGTGTCTGCAGGGAGAGAGGTAGAGGGAGGCAATCATGGGGTTTATATAAAGGCTTAAGGAGTTTGGTTCAGGGCCAGGCCAGATTCTTTCAGTGTTTTGGACAGCCTGGACAACCCAGATCCCTTTATGAAGGCCTGGCTTTCAAGGCTCAAGCATGGACTCAGTCTCTGGGGAAGAATAATGAGCTGGCAGGTCACAGAGTGGCCAAGCCTCTCATCAAGGAGAGGCATTGGAATGTAGCTCGGTGGTAGAGAGTGTGCTTAGCATGTAGGAAGCCCTGAGTTCCATCACAAGCACCAAAGAAGGAGAAGACATGAAGGCAGGAAGGCAGACGAGCAGGTGTGAACTAGAGTCCCTGCTGTCACTTCCCTGCCTGGCTTTCACGATGTCACGTACCTACCTCTTCATCCTGAGGAGGGGAAAGGTGGGGTCACCTGCGATTTCCTTTTTCCTAGCTCCATGAAACACTGCATACAAAACCAACACCTACAGTAAATACAGGAGCACAGAGCAAGACCCAGAGTAACCCCTAAAAGGCTACTACCAGTGCTTGCCATGGAAGACACTGTCCTGGAAAACAAGGCTTTATTGTAGAACTCCAAAAGTCATCTTCTAGGGCGTCCATTAACTTTAGTTGTCTGTGGGGATTATGGGTGGATTGATGGACGAATGGAAGGACGAATAGATGGATGGATAGATAGATAGATAGATAGATAGATAGATAGATAGATAGACAGACAGGTTGCTTTTGAGACGAGATCTTGCTTCGTAGCCTCTTGAGCACTGGGCTTACAGGCATAAGCCACTATGGTAGGCTTGCAGCTGGTTTTGCAAATGGTGGAGACATTAGACTAACTTCAGCTTCTTTGGGATACACATTCAACCTTCAGTTTTCCAGAGGGTCTGGGTTTCCCTTCGTTTTAGCCATTAGCATGGCTGAAGCCTGTAGACTTTAGTTCCATAGGACTTCCCCTGTTGTGGCTGTTCCAGTGATCAGGGCCTCCAAACCATGATCCACGTCAGTTAAAATTGTGGGGATGGCTCTTTGAAGGACTTTCACATTCTGCACGACATCAATAGAGCCATCTGGAGACCCAGATGATCTCACCAATGCAGAGGCCAGCTCAGTGCTGGAACTCTTGCACCCAGCATGCATATAGACCTGGACTCCTCTGCAGCTTTCTTGGGAAACTCAGAGCTGAATCAGAACAATAGAACTGCTCTCGCTCCCTGATGCACCCTCCTACATCCCCTTCTCTCTCTTTCTTACTCTTTCCTGTCCCATTTTCCTCTAACCAAGAACAGAGGATCGTCAGGTTCATAGGAGATCGGTACCGAAGCCTCCTGAGAGCTAAATACAACAGACATCATTTGACCGTATTTCTTCACTCTTCCCTTTTCATTCAACCTCAGCCAACACTGCCTCTTCGCTCCTCCTTTGTCCCTTTAGCTTCTTCTACACATTTATTTATCTCATCCACTTTTTCTCTGTTACCCCAATACTAAACTGCAACATTGAAATAAGGCAATGGTTCTTAACCTTCCTAATGCTGTGACCCTTTACTACAATTCTTGTGTATGGTGACCTCCAACCATACAATTATTCCATTGGTACTTCATAACTCTAATTTTGCTGCTGTTATCAGTCGTAATGTAATTATCTAATATGCAGGATATCTGGTATAGGACCCCTGTGAAAGGCTCATTCCACCCCCTCCAGAGGGTCATGACCCACAGGTTGAGAACCACTGCAATAAGGGCTTTTGTTTGTGTGTTTGTTTATCTGCTTGTCTGGGATTTGAGTAGAGTTTGGTATTTTGAATTGCTGATACAGCTTTTTCTTTCTTTTTAAATTATTTATTTTATGTGCCTGGGTAAGTATGCCTATGTGTATGTGTGGGCACTGTGTGTATTTGGTGGCCTTGGACATCAGAAGAGGGCAGCAGATTGCCTGGAACTAGGGTTACAGATGACTGTGAGTCAAATTATGGGTGCTAGGAATTGAACCCAGTCCTCTGGAAGAGCAGAGCCATCTCCCCAGCTCCCACTTTATTCTTTCTTTTGTTGTTTTTACCTTTTCACTGGAAATGAAAGCAACTCGAGTGTTAGTGCACACACTACTGTCAGCAACCCTTTACATCCTAAAGCTTGATATGCAAAAGGTGATTCGATTTTATCATTTGTTCCCGGCCTATCACTATGTGCTTGGCCTTTGGTACGCATTGATTTTTTCAGAGACTGTTCTAACAGGAAGTTAGCACTGGGGGTCATGCCTGGGGCCCCAACAACAATTCTAGATAAGAAAAATAACACCACTGCCCTACAGCCCAGTCCCTCTTATCTTTTAACATTTATTTAATTGTATGATGTGTGCACACATGCACCCACATGAGTGCAGCTGCCTCAGGCTCCAGAAGTGACAGTTGAATCTCCTGACATGGTTGGATCTCCTGAACTTGGGGTTTTGGGCAGTTGTGAGGCAGCTTGCATGAGTACTGGGGACTGAACTCGGGTCCTCTGCAAGAGCAGTGCACATTCTTAACCATTGGGCCACTCCAACCCCTACCTGAGTCCCTCTTTAATAGTGCAAACACTGCCTTAAAATAATGTGGTGATCTTTAATAAATATTTAAAAGTTAATATATTCAACCAATGACCTAACTCCAGATAGCCAGGTCCTATCAGAGAAACATAAGTAACATGAGAAAACCAAGACAATATAATTCCACCAAAACTTGTCATTACCAGCTGGGAGGGGGTGGTACATGCCTTTAGTCCAGCAGAGGCAGGTAGAGCTCTGTGAGTTCCAGACCAACCTGGTCTACAGAATGAGATCCAGGACAGCCAGGGCTACACAGAGAAACCCTATCTCAAAAAAATAAAAAGAAGGAAGAAGAGGATGAGAAAAGGAGGAGAAGGAGGAACAGTAGGAGGAGGACGAAGAGGAGAAGAAGGAGGAGAAGGAGGAGGAGGAGGAACAGTAGGAGGAGGATGAAGAGGAGAAGAAGGAGAAGGGAGAAGGAGGAGAAGAATGAGGAACAGTAGGAGGGATGCACAAAGCCAATTATAGAAAAGCTCCTTCAGAATAGCAGCTGATGATTCAGCTCAAACTTCAGACTCTAGAATGGCCTAAGCAGGATTACTTCAAACTGTGAAAGACAACGACCAATCCAGACTTAGCGTCATACCCAATAAAGAGGAAAACCCGGCCAAAGGAGTTCATGGCTGTCCAGCACGCAAGGAGCAGAGCTCCATTTCTGTGGTCTTTTTGTTTCATCTTGCTTTTTTGGTTCTTTGGTGGGGAGGTTGTTTGGGGACTTTTTGTTTTGTTTTGGTTTTGTCTCACTGATCTTTTTCTGTTAATTTTGAATTTGGTTTTATGAGTTTTGTCAACAGGTGGGGTTGTTTCTTACTTTTTTGTTCTTATTTTTGTTTTTAAAGAAAGAATGTAAAGATGGGTGGACAGAGAGAGAGAGAGAGAGAGAGAGAGAGAGAGAGAGAGAGAGAATCAGGGAAGATTTGGGGAGGCAGACAAACGTGATCAAAATATAGTATATGAAAAAAATTTTAATTAGAAAAAAAACCTTCTATTGCAGAGGACCCAAATATGGTGACCAACACACACAACAAGCAACTGACAACCACTTGTAACTCAGCTCCAGGAAATCTGATGCCTCTGGCCTCTGCAGGCACTGAGATTCATGTACATGTGCACACACACAGACACAATTAAAAATAATAAAAAAAAATATTGCTAAGGCCAAATCACCAGGCCAAGTGGTGCACACATAAAAGGCAGAGAGAAACAGATCTCTGTGAATTTAAGGCTAGCCAGGGCTACAATGTGAGACCCTATTTCAAACAAATAAATATTTATGAGGTCTTAAATAACCTAACAATGCACCTCAAAGTCTTAAAAATATAAGTCTAATCCACCAGTGATGGGATGAATGCATAGCTCATTAATAGAGTATTTTCCTAGAACCCCCAGTGAGGTGCTGGAGGCATGGCTCAGTGATAGAGCCCCTACCTAGAACCCCCAGTGAGGGGCTGGGGGCATGCCTCTCTGTTCAGTAGAGTTCTTGGCTAGCATACACAAGGCCTTGTATTTGAGTTCAAACATCAGGAATAGAAAAAGAGAAGCTGGAGAGACGGCTCAGTGGTTAAGAGCACTGACTCCTCTTCCAGAAGTCCTGAGTTCAATTCCCAGAAAGGATGTAGTAAATGACTCACAACCATCTTTAGTGGGATTTGATGCCCTCTCCTGGGATAAAAGTGTACATGCAGATAGAACACACATAGTGGGGCTGTAAAGATGCTGTTGTAGATTTGGTGTAGTTCCCAGCACTCACATGCTGCTGACAACCATCCATAACTCTAGTTTTAGGGGATCCAACACTCTCTTCTGACCTCCTCAGACAGCAGGCGTGCATGTGGTACACAGAAATACAAACAGGCAAAACATTCATAAGTATAAAATAAAATAAGTCTAAAAAGAATATTTAGAACAAGGGCAAACAAACAAATCTGGATGTTGGTGGCAGCATACGCCTTTTATCCCAGCACTAGGGAAGCAGAGACAAGCAGATCTCTGTGAGTTCAAGGCCAGCTTGGTCTACAAAGCGAGTTCCAGGACAGGCTTCAAAGCTACAGAGAAACCCTGTCTCAAAAAAACAAAAACTAAACAAAAAAACAAAGAAGCGAACAAAGGCCACTTGGTGCTATCATGATTGGACGAAAGGAGAAATGGATTCGACATCTAAAAACCTAGACTCTTACCGCACAGCCTTCCAAAACATCAACGGTGCCAAGTTCAGAGACTAAAGGATACTACTCCTTGCGTCCAAGTTGCATTTGGAACAGGCTGGCAAGTCAGAACACAAGAAGAACAAAAGTCCCTGAAAACAACCCTTCATGAACCCTGGGTTCCCCCTGTGAGGCCATCACTCAAGACGTCAAGACGTCTCTCAAACCAGTTTCAGAGTCGAGGGACTGGAGTGGATTCCGCACTGCACCCTCCCCCACCTCCACCCTGATGCCATGGGAAACAGGAGACCTGTAATCCCACAAGGAAGTTTTCACCCTTCTCCCAGGACCTGCCCTAACCAGCCTTTCTTGGGTAGCAACAATACCATCTGCCCCACCTCCATCTCACCGTGTGCCTGAGACCTGAGGGATTGAATTGCTTCCTCTCTCACCTCCCACAAGGACAGCAAAGTTGGGTGTGCTTCCAAGGGCTTCCCAGACCCTTGGCCGAGGTGCGCCTCTCCCTTGCCTGCTCCAGTGTTGGCTTTAACACGCTCTTCTTCTGACCTGGACAGAAGTTGAGAAACTTGGACCAGTTTCCAAAATGAGAGCCAAGAACATGGGTAGTGGTGGGGGGAGGGGGGACTCAGGAGAGTTGAAAGAGGACCTTATATAAGATAGGGAGGGAGGGAGAGCGGGATTTGAGTCCTTTTTCTGTGGCCCTGCCTTTCTCCCTAACTCTCCTTCATCCTCAGCCAACTGTGTTCACAGTCACAGAAGCATGAGCCAAAGAGAAGGAGTGAGAAGAGGCAGAAACCTAGAAGAAACAGAGAGAGAGAGAGAGAGAGAGAGAGAGAGAGAGAGAGAGAGAGAGGCAAGGCTGGGGACTTGGCTCTGTCGGTACAGTGTCTGACATGCAGCAAGCATGGGTTCTATCTTCAGCATCCACGAATAAAAGAATGTTGATGTACATGCTTATAGTACCATCAGTCCAGAGGTGGGAGCTGAAAGATTCAGAGTTCAAGGTTACCCTTGGCTACATAGCAAGTTCTAAGACATTCTGGGCTGCTTGAGACTCTTTCTCTAAAAAAGAGACAGGCTAGAGAGGCAGTTTGGTGGTGAAGAGCCTGTACCACTCTTACAGAGGGTCCAGTTTGGTTCCAACACACATATCTGGGGGCTCACAACTGCCTATAATTCCAGCTCCAGGGGATCCAATGCCTTCTGACTTCTGCGGGCAACTGCACCCACGTACACAGACCACATCCATACACATCACTAAAATTTAGAAATAAATCTTAAAGAGAAAGGGTGCCTCCGAGTGATTGCTCTCCCATCCTCCAGAAGGACAACAAAGTTGGGTGCACTTGCGAGGGTTTCCCAGACCTTGGCCTCAATGGACCCATCTTTTCTCCCCTGTTAGTCTCTATTTTAATGTTTTTAAACTTGACAGACAGCGATATCGTGTGTGTCATTTTAATACATGTCTTTCAGGATCCTTTATTGTGAGACCAAGAGAGACAGAGGGAAATTCATAGTGAATTCCAGAGACAGACCACAAGACATGGAGAACTCAAGGAGGGTCCAGGGAAACGAGAACCCTACAGGCAGGGAACCAGCCTTACACAAGGCCCCTTGGCTGGAGTGGCGAAACTGGACTTGAACCTACAAACAGAACAGAAGAGGCCCAAAACAGGACTCGGTCCAGGACTGGATCTTCAACACTCCCTCCCTGGCCCATTATTTTCTTGGCCAACACCCCATAACCCCAACTCCTCCTCCTCCTTGAGAACCAGACCCAAAGTTGAGAAGCCTTTGCCCTATTCCAAGGCAAATAGCAAGCACTGACCACAGCGAGGAGATTTAAGGTCAGCCTTTGGGCCAGGAGGCCCCGGTCAAGCACAGAGGGCTGTAGAGATGTGGCCTCCCACTCGCCCCACCTGGCCAGCTGGCTGAGAGCCCGGGGTCTACAGGAACGGTATGACAGGCTGGTAGGAGGGGACTAAGCACATGGAGGAACCAGGCAAGGGGGCAGGGCAGAGGAGGGGCGTGGAAAGGGACAACTTAAGAGCAGGTGCCGCCCCCCCTCATACCCCAGCACACACAAGAGTTCCAGAACATTCTTGCAGAAACTGGGACACAGGTGAGAGTAGCTCCCAAGAGAGGGCGCTGACTTCATCTCAAAGGAGCTCTTCTGGGACTTTGTGCCTGTCTCAGGTGCTGTCTACTGTTCCATCTATCCTCCCTCGGGCCCTGTGGGGAGCAGGGCTCTCAGTCCCTCATTCTCCCATCCCTCCTTTTTATTCATTTTTTTTTTCTTCTTAACATGACATATAGCAATATCATATGTGTAGTTTTAATGTATGTCTTTTAGGAGCCTTTATTTTGTAGTATCTATCTCTGGGTAGTTTTGGTTTTTTGTTTTGTTTTTTGTTTGTTTGGGGTTTTTTTTTGTTATTATCTGGTTTGATTTTAGCTAGTTTTTGTTGTTCTTATTGTTGTTTTTGTTGTTTTTATTTGAAGGGGTTGTTTTGTTTGAGACAGGGCTTTGATTCATAGCTCTTGGCTGACTGAAAACCCACTATATTAGATAAGGCAAGCCTCAAATCTTTAGTGGTTTTCCTGCTTTTGCCTCCCTAGTGCTGGATTGCAGGCATGCAGCACTGTGTTTAGCCTGCCGCTGTTTTTGGGTATGCATATCTGAGCTAGGTACAGCAGTGCTTGCCTGTAATCCCAGCACAAGAGGATAGGGCTGGAGGGTTGGTATAAATCTGAAGCCAGCATGGCTTCAGAGTGAGACCCTGTCTTACTAAATGAACCAAAAAAAAGTGTGTGTATCTGTCTGTTCAACTCTGTCTCTCTTCTTCTCTCTGTCTTACACACTTGCTCACTCTCTCTCTCATCTGTCAGCCTCTCTCCTGTGACTTTACTCTTCTTTCTTTGTTTTATAGAAAAGTCTTAATTTGTCTGTACCTGTCTGTGTGTCTGTCTTTTGTTATTTCTCTTTGTGAGAGCCAGTGTTTTGATGGATGGTTTAAAATGGACAGATGAGAGACAGATAAGAGATGATAGATAGATAGATAGATAGATAGATAGATAGATAGATAGATAATTGATAGATAGATAGATAGATAATATAGATTATATATCTCTATGTGGATAGATAGATAATACAGCTACATAAACTGTTAAGACATGGATTTCACTGTTTCCCACTTGTGTATTTCTCCATCTGTTTCTTAGGTAGCATCTGTCTCCACTGTCTGTACCCCGTTTCTCATGTTTACATTTTGGCAATCTGTCTGCATCTTCAAACACCCTTCTCCCTTCCTTCCTCCTCTCCTTCTTAGCCCTCTGATCTCACTCTGCATCTCCTTCTCTCCACTACCCCTACTGCCTGGACCCAAAAGAGGAAAATTCCAGAAGAATATAATGGAGAGCTTCCACTCTCTCCCTTCCCCTTTGCCCTCCCCCCACAGGCACTGCAGCTGCCTTCAGCATGGATGGTGTGAGCACAGCCATCTTGCTTCTCCTCCTGGCTGTCATCTCTCTGTCCCTGACCTTCACCTCATGGGGCAAGGGCCAGCTGCCTCCAGGACCCAAACCTCTCCCCATCCTGGGAAACCTGCTGCAGCTTCGCTCCCAAGACTTGTTGACCTCACTCACCAAGGTGCAGGGAACTCACCTTTGGTCAAGGGCAATGGGGAGGAAAGGGGCCCCATAATCACCAAGCCCCCAGTAAATGCTCTCTCCTACCTCCAGCTCAGTAAGAAGTATGGGTCCGTGTACACGGTGTACCTGGGACCTAGGCGAGTGGTGGTCCTCAGTGGATACCAAACTGTGAAGGAGGCTCTCGTGGACAAAGGGGAGGAGTTCAGTGGCCGCGGCTCATACCCGGTCTTCTTCAACTTCACCAAGGGCGATGGTAAGCCTGCCCCCATCTCCTCTATCCTCTAGACTTTCGCAGATCTAGGCAGGAAGCAAGGGTGAGCGATGTCATCTCCATGACATTCAGAGCTGCAGATCTCACTAACGACCTCATCAAGAAGCAGAAGTGATCCTGGGGGGATGGGGAGAACCTATCCCACCCCCAACTCCCATTTCCACCACGAACTGAACAGCCATACCAACCTCCATATCTGCTTGCTCCAACCCCTTGTTTACCCCAATCCTTACTCTGTCTAAATCACATCATCAAATTTCCATTCAGTCAAGTAGCCAAGTACTGACCTTTGTCCCCTCCTGTTTACCTCAACCCAGCCTCAGTCTCTAACAGACCTACATCCATGTTGCCCATTTCAAATTCCATCTTATTTGGGGAAAGGGATGTTTGTTTGCATGGTTTTTGAGATAGGATCTGTCTGCACCTGTCTCCATCACCCTGCACTGGGAATACAGTCATGGTCACACCCAGCAAACATGGGTATGGGATATAGAACTCAGATCCTCATGCTTTTGTGGCAAGCAGCTTACCCACCAAGCTATTTCCTTACCCTGGTGGTCCTCATCCTCCTTCATCTTCTTCTCTCTTCCTCAATGACCAATTCTCGACTATGTCAAAAGGAATCATCATTTTTCTTTAAAGAAATCAAAGTCTTTACTTCATGATTCTTAGTTCAATGAGAAACACAGACCATCATGAGACTGTGGCATCCTATCATGATCAGAACTAGGCTGGGGAGCTGCAGGAACCCAAAGGAAGTGCCTGACCTAGCCAGGGAGGAATTCCTGCCCCAGAGGCCCTCCTATTTGTTGCCTAAAGTGATGAAGACGACTAGTCAGGTCAAGAGGGGGTGAAAGTGTTCTAGGGCTGAGGAGATGACTGTGAGGATAAAACACTTGCTGCAGAAGCTTGAGGCTGAAAGTTCGGATCCCCAGCACTCACATAAATGCCAAGTGGGCATAGCTGCTGTCTGCAATCCCAGCGCATGGGAAGCAGAGACAAGGGATCCCCAGAGCTGGATAGTGAGAGTAACTGGGTTGGCAGACTCTGGACTCAATAAACAGATGAGGAAGGTGATCGAGAAAGACCGCTAATGTTAATAAATAACAATAATAATAATAGTAATAATGATAATATGGGACCAGGGAAACGGCTCAGGAGGTAAGGGTGATTGCTGCTAAACCTAAGTACTTGAGTTCAGTCCCTGGAGCACATATGGTAGAAAGAGAAAACTGATTCCTGCAGGTTATTCTCTGACTTCCATGGCACATATGTACCCACCCTCACACACACACACAAACACATACATAAAATAAATAAATGTAACAAATAATAATAATAAAAATAGAGGTAGAAACAAGAGTCAGGCAAGGCATTCCGTCATTGTAATCCCAGCATTTGATGGGCAGAAGCACAGGAATCTTCGCAAGTTCAAGGTCAGCCTGGTCTACATGATGAGTTTCAAGCCAGCCAGGGCTACATAGGAAGACACTGTCAAGAACAAAAGTAAAAGGGGTGTCTGAGATGTGGCTCAGTGACAGGGTACTTGCCTGACATCTGCATAGCCCTTGGTTCAATCAGTCCTAGTACCAAAAATCAA